TAGAGAGGGGGATGGTGGGGGCTGGGGAGAGGGACTGAGGGGTTAGGTAGAGACGGGGATAGTGGGGTCTGAATGGGGAGGGAACCAGCTCCCCTGTGTCTCTGCAGCTGTCCCTCTCTCCTGTCCCTTTTGGTTTCTCTCACTCTTTGTCTCCCTGTATCTTTCTTTGCGCTCTCACTCTGTGTCACTTTTTCTCGCTCATGCTGTGGTTCTCCTACTCATTTGTGTGTGTGTCCATCCCTTTATCTGACTTGTGCGCGCGCTCTCTCTCTCTCTCTCTCTCTCTCTATGTCCTAGGGTAACTGCTGGGGAAGACCCTAACAATAGACCATGGTCAGATGGGGAGACTCAGGCACAGTAGTGGCCAGGGTCTAGGGGTGCAGATAAGACGCAGGATGCAATCACAGTCTGAATGTTTGTGGCTTCCAAAATTCCTATGTCGAGATCCTAATCCCCAGGTATTAGGAGGTGGGGCCTTTACTAGACGATTAGGTCATGGGGGTGGAGCCTCATAAATGGGATCAGTGCCCTTACAAAAAAGAGGCCTGAGGGAGACCCCTTGTCCCTTCCACATTGTGAGGACACAGTGAGAAGAGGGCATCTGTGAACCAGGTGTCTGTCCCTCAATAGGAAACAAATCCGCCTTGATCTTGGACTTCCCGGCCTGCAGAACAGTGAGACATAAATTTCTGTGGTTTCTCAGCCATCCAGTTTATGGTGTCTTGTTATAGCAGCCCAACTGGGCTACGACAGATGCCCAGTTAAATTTGAGTTTGAGAAAAATAATAACTTTTTAATATAAATATCTTCCAAATACTGCATGGGACATACAAGCCATACTTATACTAAAGAAAATAGTCATTATATATCTGAAATTCACATTTAACTGAGTATCCTGTATTTTATTTGCTAAACCTGGCCACTTTCCAGGGCTGCCAGGTGAAGCTGTTTAGGCTCCACCATCTCCAAGGTGCCTGGCTCAGGGGCCAGGGAGGGCTGAAATCCAGCCCATAATCCCTTGCCCAACAGCCCTTGCCCTGCTGTGTCTACCAACAGGGGTGCTTGCCTCTAATCCACACACGATACCGAGGGCTGGAAGCACCCTGAACTGGCCCCCGTATTAATTGTGTCTTTAAAATGTTGTGTATTTTATGATGCTTTGACATCTGGGGCCTTGCAGACCCAGGGAAGGACCAGGGTAAGCTAATTCCTAGAGACAGCAAGCATGCTTTGTATCAAAGCAGACCAACCAATCCGGAGCCCAGGCCCCCACAGCCTTTGTCATCAGGCTCTATAGTCCAGGATGTTATGCCCCTACCCTAAATCTCCCCAGGGCCACACATCAGACCACCCCTACAGCTCAGGGCCCAGGGAAATTATTCAAGCTATCCGATCCTAAGCCTGCTGAGCCACCAACCCTGCCTCACCAATCCTTCCTCAGAAAGCAAGCCACAGCAGGGGCTCTGCCCATACTCTCCCCACACCTCCCACCCCGGCCCCCACTGACCCTGGGGCCTCCCCTTCCTCTGGGAAACAGGAGTAGCAAACTGTCTTTTTTTTTTTTTTTTTTTTTTTTTTTTTGAGACAGTTTCGCTCTTGTTGCCCAGGCTGGAGTGCAGTGGCGTGATCTCGGCTCACCGCAACGTCTGCCTCCTGGGTTCTCCTGCCTCAGCCTCCGGAGTAGCTGGGGTTACAGGCACGTGCCATCACACCCAGCTAATTTTTTTTCTTTTTTTGTATTTTTAGAAGAGATGGGGTTACTCCATGTTGGTTAGGCTGGTCTCAAACTCCCAACCTCAGGTGATCCGCCTGCCTCGGCCTCCTAAAGTGCTGGGATTACAGGAGTGAGCCACCGTGCCCAGCCGCAAACTGTCTTTTCAACAGCAGTTGTCTCCTGATCTGTTGGTCTCCCTCTACCTGAATAAACACAAAATTTCAGATACATTTTTAAACAGCCCCCACCAAACTCCACTGAACAAAACTGCATAGAGCCCCAGATGGGGTTACTGTACTGCAGAGCCTTTAAGATGAACGAGGCCTTACAGGAGAGCTGGGCCAACCTCTTTTGTCTGTAGCTAGAAAATTGAGGCCTAGTGGGGAAGCGGCCGTCCTTCTCAGTGGTGGAGTGGGCGGTGCCAGGCCTGGAACCATAACCTCCTGACGCCCCGGCCTCTGCCCTTGCCCATGCTCCTCCCAGGACAAGCCGACCCCCCAAGCTCTGCCACGGGGGGCCCAGCCTCCAGAACGCCTTCTCGCCCCAGCTCTGAGGTTTTCCTTAGACTCAGAGACTGGGGAGGTACACGGCCTGGTCCCCGCCACCCACCAGTCCTCTCAGCAGTCCTGAAACGATAACCAGCACCTTGGCCATCCGAGGAGGATGTGAGACAGGCCCGTCCCTGCTCTGAGGGTGTGTCCTTCCTGTCCCAACCTGACCACCTGCCAAGAAGTTACTCCAGGGCTGCTGATCAAGCACCCAGCACCTGGTTCCAGAACCCAGGGCAAACTCCTTCCCTCAGACACAAGGCCAGGGGTGAGGTGGCCGCCTCTTGGAAGACAAACCCCTCCCTTCTGTCCTGGGCTGGAGCCACCGTGTCGTGTTATATAATACAAGGATAAGACACAGAGAGAGGGTTGTCCAGAGGAGAATGAAAAGGAAGGACAGGGGCTTTCCTTCCAGTCTGAGCGCCTGTCCCATCCCTCCCTGAAGATAGGCCAGCCTGGCCCCTGGCAGGGTCAATGTCCTGCAGAGGACACACACCATCAGGTGGAGAGAGAGGTCAGGGTCACTCTGCTGGACCTGTCCCGGGATCACCTTGAGCTCAGCATGTCGTCCTTGTCTACATCATGAAGGCCCCTCGGAGAGCCTGGTGCCGTGCTTCTGCACAGCAGGGCGGGGGACCCCGTCCATGCTCCTGGGCCTGTGACGTCAACAGCAGCGCCAGGCAGCCCCAGGCCTGGGTTCCAGGTTCCACTGCATAACTTCAGACAACCCCCTCCCTTGGCCTCTGTGTCCTCATCTGCAAAATGAAGGTATTGGATCAGACACTCCAGAAGGGAAACAGATTCCTCAGGGGACAGTCACCTCAGATGGTCTCCTGCCCCTCTTTGGCTTGTCCAGGGAGCAGCAGAGGCCTGAGACCCTCAATGTGTCCCTGGACATGAGCATGGGAAGAGGCCCTGTGTCCCGAGGCAAGGCACTTCATTTCTCTGGGCCTCTCCTCCAAACCATGGTCATCCACCATCCTAACTGTCCACCCTATGCCCAGTGGTTCTCACGGAGACCAAAGGGGTGACCAGCAGAGCCAGCACACGTCAGTGGAGCTTCCCCGGGCACAGGGCTCTGTGCTGGGCATGGAGAAGCTACAAGCCTGTGACGTGGAGTACACCCAGCAGGGTGCACAGTCCGGGGCTCCTATGGAGCAGGCTCTAGGGGCTGTCCAAGCCAACCCCTCTGCTTCCCCTCCCAGGGGCCCAGCCCACCCCCTCATCCCCCAGGGCTGCAAGGAGCCCTGCCATAGGCCAGCAGCACTCCTGACTTCCCCAGAGAGGCTACATATGAGGAGGGGCCGGAGCATCAGCCGCAGAGAGAGAGAGAAGCTGGGAGCACACACAAAATCAAGCAGCCTCCAAGAACCCCAGAAAAGACCCCACAGGGCAGCCCTGGCTGCTGTCGGGTCTGACGCCCTCAGTGGCTGTCGCATGGTGGATGATTAGGGCTCAGGAACCGGCAGCCTGAATTCGGATCCGGGCTCTGCCACTTTCCGGCTGTGTGACCTAACCTTGCTGTGCCTCCCTGTCCTTGCCATACAGTGGGAAGGACAGCAGCACCCGCTTCAAGGGGTG